AAAAGAGCTAAACCAAGAAAGATGGGCCTTAAAACAAAAAAGATAAAAGGATAAATATGTAAATTTACTTACCAGCTATTTTTTAATTTATTAAATAATACTGTCAAATTTTTAAAACAAAAATGTCTTGCATGAGATAACGAAAGGTATAATAAAACTCACTGTCTAAAAGAAATTAATGGTTCTTTTCCTAACTTACTTTGTATAAAATAGCATATTATTAATTTTATCTTTTCCTAATTTTATATGGATTAGAATAAAATGTTGCATATAAAAATATTTTTAAAGATTATGTATTTACTGATAAAGATAAATTTAAAATTTTTTATTCTTTTAGATAATATTAATAATTTAACTATTTTTAAATTTTGGTAAGATAATTAAAATAATTTAAAAGTATATTGATTGTTGATTACTCTAAGTATACATTGCGGAAGAACACCATATTTTAACTTAAATTTTAAAACTCAAGTTTATACATCATTTCTCTTTATTTTATATTTATTATTAAGCCTAACTTTATTTAATGTAAGACTTTTTACATTGTTTTAAATCTACTCACACTTTGATAATCTAACAATTTTCCTTTTAAGTGGGAGTCTACAAACTTTCTATTATCTCATAGACGCCCAAATACAAAGTCCCTATTTTAGGGCCAGCTTAAGGCTTCAAATGGCATGATGTACACAAATCCCTATTATAGCTAGGGGCCGGTCTCACTTTTTGATTTCAAATATGTGCGCAATATCGGGCTGTCAAGTCCCAAGTGAAACCTAGATCTAGTGGGGAGGGACTGTCCGAAAATAAGTGGAGAGGAAAAATGGGTGGGATGATTGCGAGTTTCTGCAACATATTTTATTAGTATTTCACATGACATCTATTGCGAGTTATTATTAGGGATAAGGTTTTTCTTCATTTGAACTCGAGAAGCACCTACATTATTCGCAAAGTTGATTGAGTTTAGGGGCCAAGTTTTTGATAATTAATACCAAAATGTCTATAGACTAAACATTCAAACCTTTTTATTAATTCCAAAGGAAATTACTCAACACTCACTGATATTTACTCATCGAAAGTTAAATGGCGTGAGATTTAAGAGTACAGCGAAAGAGCTTTTAAAATAGAATATCTAAAGGCCTCGAAAGGGGGGGAAAACTAATTACATTCTCCCAAAAAAAAAAAAGATGACATACTCGAACACACATAACCAAAGCCAACAGACTTTCACTCGATTTTTTTTTTTTAAAAAAAAAAACCTGGACCAACAGACATGAGAATATACTTCAAAACGCAGATATTTTGTTTGAAAGCTCGCATTAAGGAAGTAAGCCAGTCCAAAGACCAGGCCAAAATCGTTGGATTAAAGTTAAGCGAGCAGATGGTTGAATTGATTTTCAAGAATCAATTCATCATAAAATATCTCGTAGGATTTGAATATCTAAAGATTAATAGAAATAAGCTTCGGTTTTGAAACGAACATACATCCAAGAACAAAAATAACACAACCTGAGTCTGAGACAAAACATAAGACATAGGCCAAGCAAACTAAAAAAGAAAAAGACGCAAAGAAACCTCGTTAAACCCCCATGTGGCTGCAAAACATGAAGGTCCCCAGTATTATCATGCTAACAAACGAGGTTTTTTTGGCAGAAACCTCGTTAAACCCAGGAGGAGAAAGGCACTCCGTTCCAGATTCCAAAAACAGAGCGTGTTTCCTTTTGCGAATTGGAACACGAGAAGTATCTGAATAAAAATGAGCCCAAAATCTACAAATGTTGAGTCCTAAGAAGGTAGGACAGATGTTAGAGTTGCTGCTCTAGGTCGAACCAAAAATTGACCAATGTTTTTGTCTATTACAGGGCCTCAGCAAAAAGAAAAACCCTAACAAAGGTTGCTAGAGAATATCCCTGTAACCGCAGTTTCCAAAGAATTTCAGAGCCATGATTTAGCTTGGTAAATTTAATCATCTTGACAGCTCGATGCGGAGAAAACACTTCCGAAATGTCAGCTGAAAATTTTCACTTAGACATGAGAGATGCTTGAAATAGTTGAGTCCATTAAAGTTGATGACGACCGACTTAGCATTGCCTGAAATCTTATGCTGAAGATATTTAAGTGTTTCTTTAGAGCAATGATGACCCTCAAATTCAGGCAGCACAGACCATAGAGAGTGTAGACTTGCAAGAGCCAAGTTCCTTGATGTAAAATGAAAGCAGCGTCCAAAGAGGAGCGAAAATAAAGAACATAATATGAACCAAGATGTTGAGTCACTATTGTAACAGAGCTGCGTAACTTCCTGGGTAAATTAATCAAAGCTTGAAGTTTGGAAGAATGAAGCCTACGACGGTCATGAACATACATAAATAGATAGATTCATCATAGATCCAAAACAGCACCGCCACGCGAGCAGAAGAATAAGCACCACAAAATTCAAAAACCAAACACGTATAGAAGAAACTCCGCCACACGAGCATGCAAATGAAAGGAAGATAGCTCAGGTCAACAGTAGCTATTCTCAACATTATTTTATGTTGTCAAATTAACCTATTCAAGTCCTCACTTGTATCAAATCCCTCGTCTTGGGTGTCCACATGATGGTAGGATGGAGAGAAAATTATAATTTTTACTTATATTTTAATCCAGTATGACAAAACAGTACCAATATTTTAACATTTTTTCCCTTTTTGGTGTTTTTCTTATTCTATTTATAAGTTATTTTCAATGCATATTTTTACCAATACCAAGAAAAATTTTAAAATTCATTAACTCTATTTAAAAATTTGTTAGATATTCTTTAATTAATAAGCCATTTCTCTCACCAATATGTAACGAAGGCTAAAATAGACAAATTATGATAAATTAAATGTGTAACTAATAAATAAGATTAAAAAATTTTTATTCTCTACCTTATAAATATGACCAAAAAGAATACTCATCAAGGACATTGCAAATTTTTTTGGTGTGTACTAAAAATAAGCTTTGTCAATAATAGAGATTATTTCTCTTTTGAAATATACTAGAACAAATAGTAGACCTCTCTCAACAACAACAACAACAAGCCTTTATCCCACTAGGTGGGGTCGGCTACATGGATTGCAAAACGTCATTGTGCTGTAGACCTCTCTCAATTGATTAAAAATATGCAAAAGTTAGGTTTTTGATTCCAAATCACTTATAAGGTCCAATTTGGCTATTAGAAGGGAATGGATTGAAAAAATAAGGTAAAAATGAGATGATCAAAATAGATAGTAAACCACTCTCATAAGGAAGAGGGATAGTTTAGTTTATAGAGTTGAAAATTATGATTCATGAGATTTTTCAAGGGTGTGATGATTTTTATATGTATAATATATATTAATAAATATTATCATACTTATCATGGGGAGAAGGATGATTTAATTCATTTTTGTATTGATTTTTTTAATTCATTCCATTCATTTTTTTTCTAATAACCAAACAGCACCTTAATTAAGTAATGAAAATCTCTGCCATTTACAATTGATAGGACAATAGACTTGCAATTTTTACTTTCAACGACCACAATTGAAGGCAGCATAATGGACTTGCATGCATCCATTTATATAAAATATTAATAATTTCTTCATTTCTCGCCCTTTTTCTTACCTTTGAACTGACTCTTCCTAATTCAAAATTCTCTGCCATGTTCAATATCTATCATTATGGTTGACTATTGAATATGTCAATGTTAGATTCATCTGTATAATGATTTTCAACTTTAGTTAATAACTAGGGAAATTAGGGAGAGGGGATCTAATATTGTTAAAATTTATTGTAAAGAACCATAAAAATTAAATTTAAGATAGAAGATAGGTTAGCTTTCTCAAGTCTCAACGATAGTTATTCTCAACATAATTTTACGTATAAGAGTCAAATCAAAATATTCAAGTCCTTACTCATGTCAAATCCCTCGTCTTGGCCGGTGTTCACAAGGGACTTGGTCCCTCCTCCCATGAAAATCTCCGTTGTGTCTTCCTTTACAGGAGGATAAATCTCAACCATCTAGATTTAATTTTTTTTATTTTTGTGTTTACTTTTTATTTATTAAAATAAAAAATTATAAAAATTATAATTTTTTTAATAAATCTATTCATAAGTTTAGATAGTCTAGATTTAATAAATAGTCCAAATTTAATATTAAAAATTTATAATTTTTATAAATTAATTATTCAAATATATTCTAGACAATTCAAATTTAATATTAAAATTTATAAATTTTTTTATATTAAATTTGGACGGTCCAAAGTGATGAACCGATTTATGAATTTTTTTTATAATTTATATAATTTTTTATTTTAATAAATATAAAATTAAAAAAAAACTAAAATACTGAACCTCGACTAGAGGAGACGCAGCGGAGGCTTCCCTCTCCGTTCACAAGGTATGATATATGGAGAGAAAACTTATTTGTACTTTTTTTCAAAGTACAGAAAGTGATCTCCTTGACACTAGAAATGATTTCTTTCAAAATATTAAGATTAAATGGTAGATCTCTGATCAATTAATTTAAAATATGCATAAGAGCTAGGATTATTTTGATTCCAAATCACTTACTTAAAGCTTCTATCATTTTCAGTGGACTTGCATACATATACATATACATATATATATATATATATATATCCATGCATGCATGTATCTATGGATTTAAATTTAATGACTATACTGAATATAAGTATTAAATATCTATACCATCTGAATCATTAAAATCATGATCAATAATTATAAATTTATCTTCCATTTGAAATTAATGAACGAGTGAATTTATTTAAATATTGATTTAGATTTGAACAATTCAAATGGTACATGCACTCAATACTTATATTAAGTACAATGATAAATATGGATTTATATAAAGAATTAATAGTTTCTCCGCTTTAATTTCTTTAGTTCCAGCCCTCTTTAATTTTTTACCTTTGAACTGACTCTTCCTCATTCGGTTTCAAGATTCTCTGCCATGTTCAATTTTTATCATTGTTGATTCTGGAATAAGTCAGCTTTACATTGATCTGTATTATGATTTTCTATTTTAATTCATCACATTATCACTCATCAACCACGCGTCCCCGTCCCATCTTCCTGTCTCTCTCCTTCTTCTGATCTTTTCTACCGCCGGTGGTGTCTTGTGTGGTCGGAGCCAGTCCTGATTCTTCATCGTCGACATGGAAGATCTCAAGCCAACCATTGCAAGCTCTGCTCCTCTCACTCCGTTAGGCTTCCTCGATAGAGCTGCCACCGTCTACGGTGATTGCACTTCTATCATCTATAACCGCACCACCTTCACTTGGTCCCAAACCCACCGTCGCTGTCTCCAACTAGCTTCCTCTCTTTCCTCCATCGGAATCCGTGGCGGCGATGTCGTGTCCGTTGTCGCCCCCAACATCCCCGCCATGTACGAGCTACACTTCGCAGTTCCCTTTGCCGGCGCCGTCCTCAACAACATCAACACCCGCCTTGACGCTCGAACCATCTCCGTCATCCTCCGCCATGGTGAATCTAAGCTCGTGTTCGTCGACTGCGTCTCAAGGGCTCTGGTCCTGGATGCCATCTCCTTGCTGCCACCAGAGACTCAACGGCCTATCCTTATACTCATAACCGACGATTCTGTGGAACCCACTTCATCAGAGGGATTCTTCGATACGTACGAGGGGTTGGTTGCGAAGGGTGATCCGAATTTCCAGTGGATCCGACCCAAAAGCGAGTGGGATCCGATGATTTTGAATTATACGTCCGGTACGACGTCGTCTCCCAAGGGGGTGGTTCATTGCCACCGAGGCACATTCGTTATTGCCGTGGATTCTTTGATTGACTGGGCAGTCCCCGAACGACCGGTCTACTTATGGACGCTGAATATGTTCCATGTTAACGGATGGAGCTTCCCGTGGGGGATGGCAGCAGTCGGAGGAATCAATATCTGCATCCGTAAATTCGACGCCGCCACCGTGTTCACTCTGATCGAACGCCATGGTGTCACACACATGTGTGGTGCTCCGGTGGTGCTCAACATGTTAACAAGCTCCTCAACAAGAAGGCCTCTAAGTAGTCCCGTTCATGTCCTCACAGCCGGAGCACCGCCTCCAGCGGCGGTGCTGAAACGAACGGAAGCGTTAGGATTTGTGGTTAGTCACGGGTACGGGTTGACCGAAACAGGAGGTGTGGTGGTTACGTGTGCGTGGAAGCCTGGGTGGAACTTGTTGCCGGCGACGGAGAGGGCACGGATGAAGGCGAGGCAAGGGGTGAGAACAATCGGCCTGGATGAGATGGACGTGCTGGATCCGGATTCGGGTAAAAGTGCTAAACGAGACGGGTCAACGCTCGGGGAAGTGGTTCTTCGAGGCGGATGCGTCATGTTGGGCTACTTGAGAGACCCAGAAGCGAACTTCAAGTGCTTCAAGAATGGGTGGTTCTACACAGGGGACGTGGGAGTGATGCATCCAGATGGGTACTTAGAGATTAAAGATCGATCCAAGGATGTCATCATCAGTGGGGGTGAGAATCTGAGCAGCGTGGAAGTTGAATCGGTTCTGTACAGTAACCCGGCGGTGAACGAGGCAGCGGTGGTGGCGAGGCCGGACGAGTTCTGGGGAGAGACGCCGTGTGCGTTCGTGAGCTTGAGGGAGGGATTGGAGAAGAAGCCGACGGAGAAGGAGATAATGGAGTATTGCAGAGCAAGGATGCCGCACTTCATGGTTCCGAAGACGGTTGTGTTCAAGGAGGAGCTTCCCAAGACGTCGACCGGCAAGATTCAGAAGTATGTGCTGAGAAAGGAAGCCAAAGACATGGGATCGTTGAAACGCAGCAGACTGTGACGAAGAAGACGGTGAGATTAAAACGGGAATGAAGGAACGTAAAAAATATATATAAACGACGTGTATTGAATGACTTACTCGTGAAGATATGGGTAAAAAATCAATTAACATCTTGGATTGAATAAGATTGATTGATTGTTTTAAATATACCGAGAAACTAGTATGGCGATCTTATATTCTTATATTACAGTCAGTAAAGTTTTATTCGTGTTGTTCAGATTTATAGATCTTGTAATCTCGCAGGCTAAATGCAACAATAAAGTGTATCAAATTATTAATTATAAAATTATTCAATCATTAAAATATGTGACATTATTCAATTATTCAACAGCGTCCCTCTTTTGCGTCGTGTTTTCGGCACTCTTCATTTCTTCTCCCTCGGTTTTTAGTCAATTCCGTTCCTTTGGATTTGATCGCTTATTTGATGTTTTACCTTTTTGTTTTGTTGTTTTTATTTCTCTGTCTTATAAAAAAATTAATTTTACGCCCTGATATATTTAATTTTAAGTTAAAATATGTTCTCAATCATTTAACTTTATACAAAATTTTAATTTAATTCCTTAATTTTATAAAATATTTTCTTAATCCATTAATTCTAACATTGTTAGTTGCAAATAATTATTTTTATCTCAATCATTATTATTTTTTAAAAAATTAAACTTAATATGTTAATATTTGATAATGTTTTATCAATATTTAAAAGTTTAATATAAAAATTTATTAAAATAAAAATAAAAATAAAAATATTAGAATTATAGAATTAAAAAATAATTTATAAAATTAAAGAACTAAAATAAAATATTATATAAAATTAAAAGACTAAATGTATACTTTGATCTTAATTTTATAAAGAAGTGGCAGGAAATATTTTTGTTAACTTTATAAGGTACTTTTTGAAATATTTAGCAGGGAAGACTTTTAGCTTTATATTCTTGTTATACTTTTGTCCACTCAAGTCAAAATATAAGTATTTTAAAATATTAATAATATTAATAATAAAAATTTGTTGTAAAATAAATAATATGTAAAGGATATACATATCATGACAAATATAATATGGAAGAAACTTATAAATTCAGTTTTATAGACTTAATATGCTTGTTTTTAATTAAAGTCAAACTTCATCAAAAATAAACAAAGTTTACATATTAAGTATATAATTATATTTTCCCATGTTGTACTTACTTAGTTAATGTTGGTTTATGTTTTACTGACTTAGGTGATTAATTAGGTCTTTTGCTTCTCACAGCATGAATTTAACATCGGCCAAAATTTGGAAACTTTGTTTATTTTCTGATGAAGTTTGACTTAAATAAAAGAATTAGGATGGATTAGAGTGTGTGCGTGTGTATGTATTATATGTATACGTTATGATTCCCAATTAATTTATGTAATTGTATTAGCAAATACGAGAGCAGTATATGATCAACTTGGAGAATCATACTTAATTACTGGGATATTGAACAACATGGCAACATCCCATGTGAGGGTACCTATGATTGGCTTTTTGAGTCAACTAAGCTACTGTATTACATTACCTCCATTTTAAAATATTTGTTTTTTTTTAAGTTTTTGCACATATATTAAGAAATGTAATTAATATAATAAAAAAAATGACTGCAGTGCCAAAATTTGCCCCGGCATCTTAATAAATGCTCCTTGAAATTATTGGAATAAACAAGGGTATATATATTTAAAAAAATGTTAATATGCACTTATTTCAACGACTTTTAAAATATATATATATATATATAATGGAGCAAAAATTTTGCCCTGTAAAAAGATGATCCTTTTATAATTCCACATGAAAGTTAATTATTTGATTCTATTGATAATTTATTTTTAATATATTTTATTAGAATTAAAATTTTTTTTAAAGTTTATTAACTCTGTCAAAAAATTTAATAAATTTTTTAACTTTGCTCCTATGCTTTCTCACTCACCAATATTTAATAAAGAATAAATGAATAAATTTCTGGTAAAAATTTAATAATGTAATTTATAAATAGAAAAAAAATCTTCTTCTTTTATTTTATAAATAGGACTCAATATATACAATAAGTACTCTCTCAGTTTTTTTTTAATGTCTCTTACGGTTTTAATACAATTAAAAAAAGCAAAATAAATTAATGAGTAATATAATTTTACTATATTATCCTTTTTGCATTTTCCCTTTATTACTTTTCATATGATTCCACAATGTTTAAAAACCAAACATATATAAGGGCTTTTGCAAATATATAAAATTTATATTATAAGACTAAACTAAACAAATAGTCCAATATTTATTATATTTTGTATTATAGCTTGTTTAAAAATAAAAGGAATAAAAGTGTGTAAAATTTTAAATATGCCTTTATTTAACAAATGTAAAAAGTAATGTCATGTTACTTTTTAAATATTATATAAAAATCAAATAAATTTTCTAAAACATGCCTTTTAAATGAGACTAAAGGAGCATGTCAATGATATAGCACTACATATATCAATACTAAATGCCTTAAAAATTTTCAATGATAAACCCTTTTATATCAATTATAAATCTTTCATATACCAATGTAAACCGGCTATATATCAAATTTTTAAAAATTTAGATTTTTTGGGCCAATGGGCCAATTTATCCCATATATATAATTGATGAAAGTATTAGTTACTATTCATATTATAAAAACAACAGTTTTTACCAACTCTAAACTAAAACTATAACGTGTCCAGGGTGCAAGTTGATAAAATCAAATTCATAAAAAACAACGTGCAAGTTTTGAGAGAAAATAGATTCCACATATCAAAGTACCAAAATGTCGAGCGTAAAACATTCCAAACTTTTAGAATAAAAAATATCTAATACTCAGTAGTACCCAGTAATTTAAAGTTAAAAAGTGTTAAATTTAAGATAGAGTTTTTCTCAACACTATTAACCATTAAATTTAAGATAGAAGATAGAGTTTTCTCAACACTATTATCTATAGATCTCAACATTATTTTATGTATCCCCAATAGTCAAATTAAACTACTCAACTCGGCATTTGATCGACATCAAAATCAAATGCATCCACTTGGGTACTATATTAACTTGGTAGGATAAAAGAAAACCTATATTTTAACCATTTTTTCCTCATCCCATGTTCAAGGATACGAATGTCAACTTGAATTGTAAACTAGCCATTAAAATATATAATTAAATAATTAAAATATAAAATATGATGATAATTTAATTTAAATATATTAATATAAATCATTAAAATTAATTTCATCTTTATTGACAAATTATCATACTAACATAGAAATTTTAAATTAGGCAACTTATTTGTTGTATTTCTTTTTTTTAATCAATATTAGTTTTTGTTTTTAAGTTTATTTTTCAATTGAGTCCTACCATTTTTTATAAATTGAGTTTTACATAGTATATATTTAACTTGCTTAATTCAGTAAAAAATTGATGAGTTTAGCAAATTTAATTGACTTTGCATCTACTCCAAATTTATGAGCAAGTTGATACGATTTTATAAATTAAAAATATAAAATGATAAATTTAAAAAGTTAACTTCCAAGTTTAATTAAATTTATATTTAATTTAAATTTATACATAAGTTAACATAATTTTGTAAATTAAAAATATAAAAATAATAAATTCAAAAAATTAACTAGAGGGTTTGACAATATGATTGCAGTACTATTTATTTTTTTTAAATCATTAATGCAGTATCTATTTTTAATCACAGAGACAAAAAGACAATGCACTTGCATGCATCCATTTATATAATAATAATAATAATAATAATTTCCCTGCTTAATCCTTTCCCTCTCAATACCCTTAAACTGGCCCTCCCTTTTGTATAATTCTCAGCTTGCATCATCATCATCATCTTTATTATTATTGAATACGTCAGCTTTGCTTCAGGTTAGTTTTTATTATGATTTAATATAATTTATGATCGTAAATATTACATCACTCAGCATCCACGTCCAAGCATCCTCTCTCTCTCTCTCTCTCTCTCTCTCTCTCTCTCTCTCTCTCGATCGTTTACCCAGCATTGCCGCAAGGGTCGTACCAAGACCTTCTTCATCTTCATCATCGACATGGAAGATCTCAAGATTCTCCTCCTCTCACTCCTTTAGGCTTCCTCGACAGAGCTGCCACGGTCTACGGTGACTGCACTTCTATCATCTATAATCACACCACTTTCACTTGGTCCCAAACCCACCGTCGCTGTCTCCAACTAGCTTCCTCTCTCTCCTCCATCGGAATCCGTGGCGGCGATGTCGTCTCCATCGTCGCCCCCAACATCCCCGCCATGTACGAGCTACACTTCGCAGTTCCCTTTGCCGGCGCCGTCCTCAACAACATCAACACCCGCCTCGACGCTAGCACCGTCTCCGTCATCCTCCGCCATGGTGAATCCAAGCTCGTGTTTGTCGATTGCGTCTCACGCTCTCTGGTCCTTGAGGCTATCTCCTTGCTGCCTCAGGAGACTCAACGGCCGATCCTTGTCCTCATAACTGATGACTCAGCGGAGCCCACATCATCAGAGGGATTCTTTGATACGTACGAAGGGTTGGTGGAGAAGGGTAATCCGAATTGCAAGTGGATCCGACCCAAAAGGGAGTGGGACCCGATGATCTTGAATTACACGTCCGGTACAACGGCATCTCCCAAGGGGGTGGTTCATTGCCGCCGAGCGACTTTCGTGATGACCGTAGATTCTCTGATCGACTGCGCCGTTCCCAAACAACCAGTCTACCTATGGACCCTGAATATGTTCCACGCTAACGGGTGGAGCTTCCCGTGGGGGATGGCAGCCGTCGGAGGAACCAATATCTGCCTCCGAAAATTCGACGCCGCCACCGTGTTCACTCTGATCGAACGCCACGGCGTCACACCCATGTGCGCTGCACCGGTGGTTCTCAATATGCTAACAAATTCTGCAAGAATGAAACCTCTCAGAAGCCCCGTTCAAGTCTTCACGGGAGGAGCACCGCCACCAGCGGCTGTATTGCACCGCACAGAAGCGTTAGGATTTGTGGTTAGTCACGTGTATGGGATGACCGAAACAGGGGGGTGGTGGTTTCTTGTGCGTGGAAGCCTGGGTGGAACTTGCTGCCGGCGAAGGAGAGGGCACAGCTTAAGGCAAGGCAAGGGGTGAGAACCATCGGGATGGCAGAGATGGACGTGGTGGATCCGGATTCGGGTAAAAGCGTAAAACGAGAAGGGTCAACCCTCGGAGAAGTGGTTCTTCGGGGAGGTTGCCTCACATTAGGCTACTTGAAAGATCCAGAAATGAACTCCAAGCGCTTCAAGAATGAGTGGTTCTACACAGGGGAC